TTTTCTACTTATAATAGAAACTGAATTCATAGAAAGTATTTTAGAATAGGTCATGCTATGTCAGGGAATTATGTTAGTCCAAGCATCATCAAACATGATACCATCAGGTTTTATAAGAATACAACTAACTTTTGAAATTTCATTGCTCGCACCTTCTACTAATTGTGATTTTGGCTTTAGTACAATTACAGTTTGTGTTTGGGTTTTATTTCAGAAGCTTTGTTGCTGATGATCAGCCTTATATATCAGGATTAGGAATTAGATACTTTTATAGAAATTAAGATAGATACATAGGATTTTTAGAATAGCCATTTTGTTAAGAGATCATAATCAATTGTTCGTGGAAATGGCCCAGCGTGATCTTTGAACTGGGCCATATTCTTTAGGTACTGGTCTGACCTATAATTAAGAGTTTTTTATAGTACAGGTAAAGTTAGCACAGAATAAGAAGGTATTAGGATTTAAGTCAGTCATTAGGTGTTGGGTATGCATAAGTTTTAGAAGTTATTGACTATTAGGATTTTATGATATTAAAACTGTTGTATTGCTTTTGAGGAACATAAACCAAGCATAAGGAACAGTGAGATAATTTTGGGATTTTCCTTCCTCATGCTTGGGGAAAACGCCTGGTGGGCGGGGGTGCCCCCCCAACCTGGCTTTGTGTTCATGTAAAACTCTTGTGATTTGATTAAGATTGTCCTTTCTCATGCTAAGGAAAATGCCTGGTGGGTGAGGATGCCCTCCACCCACCTGGCTTTGTGTTCATGTAAAACTCTTGTGATTTGATTGGGGTTGCCCTTCCTCATTCCTAAGGAAATGCCTGGTGGGTGGGGGGCGCCCCTCACCTATCTGGCTTTGTGTCCACGTGAAAGTCTTGTGATTTGACATGAGAAAATTTGGGATAAAAGACTCACGTTTGTTCCCAATAAATGGCTTCTCACTAGACAGAGTCCAGTCTCTTTCTTCCCTTCTATTCTCCCAGAATATTCACCGACGCTGCCACATCTTCCAAGGGACTTCCTAATTCTCTTTGCAGGGGCTGGTCCCCTGCAGCTTTGCAGCAGCTGCTGCAGACATCCTAGGCCCTGAAGTTTTCCTAATCTGCCTGCTCTACCAGTATAGTTGGGGGCGCTGGGGAGCCAGATGACACCTGAGGTTCAATTCCAGCTCCCAGTTGCTTTTTTTTTTTTTGAGACAGAGTCTCACTCTGTTGCCTAGGCTGGAGTGCAGTGGCATGCTCACGGCCACCTCAGTGTTGACCTGCTGGGCTCTGGCGATCCTTCTGCCTCAGCCTTCCAAGTAGCTGGAACTATAGGCATGTGCTAACACGCCTGGCTAATTTTTGATTTATTGTGGAGATGAGGTCTTGCCAAATTGCCCAGGTTGGGATTACAGGCTGAGCCACCAAGCCCAGTCCCCAGGTGCTTTTTAGCTGTGACATTGAAGAAGTTCCTTAGCATGTCTCAGATTCCTATCAGTAAAATGGCAACCTTGATAGTGTTGATGGAGGTGGACTAGATAATCCAGTGCTGTGTGCCTCAGTACATAAGTGCTACTATTATTGTTGTGGGAAAACAGAGAGACCATGACACCCAGGCTATCGTAGGAAGTTGCATTTTATTAGTGCTGGCACTGCATGACTCAGCGGGCTAATGCTCCAAGGCTGAGCAACCTGGAGAAAGAGAAGGGTTTTATCTGTTAGTTTAGGTAAGGGAGGGGGATTGGGTTGTATGGCTATACATTTTTTCTCTGGAATTTGCAAGGTTGTACTTAGCAAAACCAGATTTTCAAGCAACGAATTGTCTCCAGGGTATACATGACAAGCAGGGATTGTAAACTGATAATTCACAAAGAGAGGATGGGGGGGTGGGGTGAGGTGAGATTGTGACTTGATTACTACCTTGCATTTCCAGGAAAGTGGCTTGTGGCTATTGGGGTTTTTCACATCCATGTCTAGCAGGTTGGGAGTTTGCAGGTTGATTTTTAAAAGGAATAATTTAAACTGTTTTTAGCCCCTCTCTGCCACATTATTATCAAAGCAAAGCCATCGGATGCGTCACTGGGCTACATGGCGTGAAGTGGATTGAGCTGGGAAAGGCCTGCACGGGACCTGGGACACAGAGCTACTCAGGACGCTCTCAACCGCCTGGTCTACTAGGCATCCCCTTCACGATCCGGTTTCTACCTTTCCGGGGCTCAGAGTCCCGGGAGGGAGGCTAGGGGGAGGGCGAC